AGCCGGCGTTGTCATGAACCCTTCACAATTGAGAGCGGTGGTAGGCTAGATTGTCATCTCTCTGTATTTTGTTCATACCATGTCTTAATGACTCGATTCACACGCATGTCATAACTCAGCTGATGATGGCGATTGCTGTCAAATGACAATTACATAAGGGATGTGGAATGCAGAGACGATGTTAAAACGAAATCTGTGGTCCAAAAATAAATAAAGTCTTTTACTCTTAAGCAATCATTGACATTCCGTGGTTAGAAAAACACGGGAAATAATGGCTAACCAGACACAGCTATCTGCCGGCGTACACATATGTTTTGAACGACAGGAATCAATACCCTTATTCGGTCGTATATATTCTATAGACCTCACCTCGTGTTAAAGCTAATGGGGTTCATCAAAGCGTCAAGCACGTTATCCTTCCAAAATTAAAGGCATAGCGAGGCAGCTAACCACTGAATGGGCCTAACACTGCACCTCAGCTTTCCGTGTTCAAAAGCATGCCGACGGTGCACGCCACACAAGCCAGGCCGGATGGGTGCGGGGACAGCCAACCTGTGCCTCACTTCCACACTGCGCCCCAGCGTCCGGTGTTCAGAAACACGCCATCGGTACACGCCACACAAGCCAGGCCGGATGGATGCGGAGGCAACCACCCACAAATAGTCTGGCCTTTGCGGCCTCGGTGTTTTAGGCGTTTAGGAGACGCCAGAGAGTGGCTAAGCCTCATTAAGCGTCATTGCGATGTAGGTCTGGTGACGTGATGACCTCGGCATGGAAGAAGCAGATCCTGAGAGATGATATGGGCCACTCGCTGCGTCGAATCCAAGTGGCCAAAGGTACCTACATGATAAAATCTCTGGCGTTTCACTGACCATCATTAACTGGATTCTGCTGTACACGGCGTCTTAAACCTGCTCCTAACACACCCGATGACTTGGGTCTGAACGAGAAGCGAGGCGAATAATCACAGATTCTAAATGCGGTTGAAAATTGGCAGCACTTGATAAGGTAATAGCACAAGTACGGTGAGCTCCAATGCTGGTGTGAATCGTCCATTGACGCTTTTGAAAGAGGGGAATTATACACATGTGAATGGATATTATTTAAATGACAAATGAACATTCCCTCGACGTTATACTTTCCGGGATAAGTCGAATATTGTGCGGAGCTTCCATTCCCATGATGCTTGCCGACACTGACAACTTTTCGAATAGAGGAGACGGGACTTTGGACCGACAGATAAGAAGTGATCACGGAGAAAGGCTGACCTCGTTCAAGGAGTGGCAGCCAGTCGGAGGGGCTCTCATCAAGCAGGAACGATGCTCGTGAGACGATGTGGACGATGCGACTGAGCATAATCGTCACAGGATCTCGTAAAGACGTTTGCAAAATGCTTCATGCTCGGTGAAACGGGCATGAAGATTCCGGTCATGAATTCCATAGAGATCAGCGTTGGGAAGGCGAGCCCTGATTAAGGGCAAGGGCGCGCTACCTGGGCGATTTCCAAGGATGGGGGCCTCCCTGGATTCAGGCCGCGAGCGTTTTACTGTAGGTCACTGCCCCTCAGCCCGAATTACACCGGACGCTTGGGTGAAACGGCCTGACGCGTCTGCGTCATGAATTACCGTGAGAGTCGAAAGGAATGCATGGAACAGAGTGCAAGGGGTTAGCTTGTAACAGCCAGTGGGAGCAACGGCAGCTCAGGGCTGGATGAACTACGAGAGCTCAAATATACTTGTGTTTGGAGCTGGAAACATACCGGGGGTGATTCGGCGGGGTGCTCTGCAGAAGGTACTGTAACTTTGCCTGTGCCAGATGGTTGTAGTAAGGGAGGAACGTCTGCGCAGACTCCTTGCAACGAAGGAAATAGTTAAGTTCCTCACTATTGTCATGTTTCTAACTCAACTTTAGCGTACATCTTGAACTTACTGAAGTTACTTGCGTGTCTCGCAAGAAATAAGTCTGCCTCACAATTGCACATAGTTCTGAAAGGAGCACAGCGTGCAGAACATTACTGGGTGCAGTCTTCTTTTCAAAGCGGCAAGGCTGCGTGGACACATGGGAACACTGCAAGCATTGAATGGAACGGGCGTAGGGAAACCAAGTATACGTTATCACCGACCTCGGAAGGTCAAAAAAGCTCTGGAGATCAGCCTTCAGAGATTTTGCCAAATGTCGCAAAACGTACGTGGGAAGCCACCTCTTCAAATCACGGGAAGTTCCTCTTCAAATCACGGGAAGTTTCCTCTTCAAATCATGGGAAGTTTCCTCAATTCCTCATACTGTACATGAACACCATCACCATTCGCATCGTCGCTATCGCCACAATGTCATCAGCTGTATGCAAGAGCCAAACGCATGCTATTGCATGGCGTTTGCTGTCCTTAAGTCGATACATCATTCAACAGAACGGAGTAAATAGCATATGCCAGCTTTGTGATTGTGTGGATTTCTCTCTTATCAGAAGCCGGTTACCCGCGTTATCACTTCTTCTGTGTAACTATCTCCGCGCCGTTTGTGATGATGCGCACAAACGAGGATGGTAAAAGCATATTGTCCATGAATCCTTGCCACTGAAGCGATTATTCATCATCATTCGAATCTAGCACTGCCTCAAGAAACGTGACGCATTGTTAGATACTAAAGAAAAATTGCATGAACAGAAAAAATGAATTAATCATGCCTCGGACATCTGCTGACATTTCACAAAGCCTGCTAGCTGCCAATTTCAATATATATTGAATGTTTTATTGACGTCATAAGTTGAGCTGAAATTTGGACGTAGACCTGCGTCCAGACACATATATTGAAAAGGTGGAAAAGCAAACAGAGCAACAGTCTTAATGAGACATACATGTTAAAAACCAATGCTAATTGCGATAATGGTGTAACATATCAGACGTGTAACATATCAGACATAAAAGCCTTGTGATCCCGGTAGTAAATTTATATTCTTCAGATGTAAACAGATAGACTCTTCGTTACCCTCCACGGCCTGCTTCGAAATGTCACGCGTCTTATGCGCTTGAACTGCTGGCTGTATTGGAGAGTGAGCTGGCTAGTGCAACATAAACCACCTGTCGCGCATTTGATGCACCTGAACTGCTGGCTGTATTGAAAAATGAGCTAGGCTAGGCCAGCCTGAACCACCTGGTTTCCCTCCCATTGGCGTCGATCGTTGCTATTAATCCTGAAGTTTGTTTCTCTGCATACAGAAAGCCAGTTTAGAAGCACCTCACTCTCATACAAAAGCAACCAAGCGAGTATGCAGTTGTGGTTATACACGTAAGTCAGCCAACCATTCGACGAAATTAGGCCAGGCTTTGAGGGTTTGTGCTGTTATTCATGAGTATTTCGGTGAGATGTTCGCTCTCAAGTTGATCAATTTTTTGGCAGCCTGGTTCACTGGTGTATCGTGTCTGCCATGCATTGTCTGCCACCGTAGCTCTTGATACAAATATCAAAATGCAAATTTTGTAAGTTGGTTTGTGTTTGATACAATACAAATTTTGGGTTTTCAAGAAGCTCCTAGTTTTTCGGCATTGTGAAATGAAGTCTCATATCCTGAATCGCGACCTCCGCTGCACCACTGAACTGGTTAAACGAAGCTGTAATGCTAAGTACGATGATGATATGGTAGGCAAATGATGGCGATGATAATAAGCAAACAATCATCATGCTTATAGAAAGTATGACAATGCCCGCGACGTCTGGCTCACATTCCGGCCAAACGCCCACGGCCTCTGGCGGGTCAGACGTGACAGGCTGGTGGTTGAGAAGTGTGCTCCACACGTCAAAATCCCACCAAGTTCTGCTGTTGGTGGGCGTTGCTCCCTGCCGCCGCTCCAACCAGTCTTGGCCTCGACGGGGCGCCACTATGTCGAGCGTAACCCTTCGTGACCTTCACAGAACGCCGCCACGTTGAGCGACAAGGGACAAAATTAATTGGGCAACCAGAATGGTCACTTTCATCATCAAAATAAGCACCTTGATCACTAGCTGAATCAGATACCTGAATCGGCCAGTTCATCGCCAGAAAGGCTGATTCATCATCATTGGTGCCAGTCAAAATGTGGTGTAGTAACCGACTGGGCATGAGGGCTAGAACGTCCGATTACAGGTGGAAGGGCATGACAGTTCGTCAAAATGAATGAAATCGTAACCAAGAGCACAGCTTGTCAACCTCCGCAGCTGAATATGTTCCAGCTCCTGGCAATTCCACGCACTCACCCATGGCGTTATGGCGGTTTCATTCGTTACGTACTCGCTCGCAGGGCTCATCCAAAATAATCAAACACTTCGCCCCCCCCCCCCCCCAATCGGGCCTTTGAGAGGTCTGTGCCGAGGGTCCCGAGGGCCACTTAGGGCCCAGAGGAGGAGCATATATGTCCCCTGTGCCCCCCCCCCCGCCCCCCACTAGTTGGTTTCACCTCTGGATGTATAGGCATGTGCAATACTCAATGCTAATCAGCGACTCACTCTCAGGACAGAACTCTAACGTGAATAATAGCGTCTGCGTCCGAAAACATTCGCAAGTTGATGTCATTTTGGCTCTAAAGCATGGCGGGTTTTTGCTGGTGGGTTAAATTTTCTAGATTCTGGTACAAATCATTAATTTCTTTTCATATCTTGGTGATTTGTCTCACCTTTTTGGTGGAGCCTCAACCAGTCTGGTGGGTAATATTGTTTCTGAACATTTTCCGTCGTGGCGACTTAAGTAGGAGTTGCGGCTAACGAATTCGCTAAACTGGTGGTGAACACGACCATATTGGTGGTAATAACTTATCGACTATGAAACGTTCATTTTAGTGTTGATTCGTCAAATTTGGTTTTAAACGGTGCCTTTTGACTATTTTGTGTCATTTTGGTGACCGGCTTATACAGGCCCAAGCGATAATATTTCACGACTTCGACGAGGCGCCGTCATGTTGAGCGATAATACTTTGCAACCTCGACAGGATGCCGCCATATTGAGCGGTAATATTTCGTGACCTCGACAGGGCGCCGCAATGCTGAGCACGAACCGTTTACGCGTCGCATCCACGGGCTCGGTACTGGGCCTGCTGCTGCTGCTGGCCCTGTTCGTCTACTGCATGTGCCTACGCACGGCGCCCCAGCGCCTGGGAATCGGATGAGCTCGTGGTCGGAGAGCCCTAAGAGCTGGACGACCAGCAGCACCAGCAGCTGGACCAGCACGCCTGTCTCCAGCGACGACCTCTACAGCTCTGAGAGCTTCGACTTCGAGCGCGACGCGCACCTCGTGGGCGGACACGGAAAACGCTCGAATACTGCGCGGCGTGCAGGAGGCGGCCAGCGCGGCGGCGGCAGCGCGGCGCGCCCCGAATCGCCAGTCGACTGAGCGTTGTGGACCGGCAAAGATGCGGTCTGCGAAGACGCGGTCGGGGAGGACGTCGTCCGGGTGGATGCTATTCGAGGAAGCTCAGTCCGGGAAGATGTGGTTGTGTGGGGAGATGTTAGTCCGAGAATATGTGGCCCGGTGACCATGTGATCCGTGGAGTGTGGGTTGGGAAACGTGGCCTGGGTAGATGTGGTCTGATGCTGTATAATCCTGACAGATGTGGTCCGGGGATGTAGTCAGTGGAGATGTATCCGTGAAGATGTGATTTGGGGGGATGTGGTACGGGATGTGATCTGCACCAGATATTTTCCGGGGAGGTAGTCCAGGGAGGTTTAGCATAAGGCGACGCGGTCTAGACGAGACGTGGTACGGAGGGACGCTGTCTGGAACGTGGTGCAAAGGAGCCTTGCCCGGAGACTGGTACGGAGGTACGTTGTCTAGAAATGTGGCATAGAGGGACCCCATCCAGAGACTGGGTACAGATGGCCGTTCTCCGGAGAGCATGGTCCTGAGGGTGCGGGAAGACGTTGTCCAGACGATACTCTGGATGGGGTGTTGCTGCTGGGACGCGCTCCAGCAAAAACGTGCATCCATTCCACACGTCCCTGTAGCGACTCGTTTCCTATGTGCTCCTGTTGGGTCATGTTCCTACTACATGTGCAGGAGCCAAGGTGCGTTTCTTCTGTCACGTACGAACCGCGGCTAAGACTTGCTCTCGCTGATTCGTGCTCTTTGCAATATGTGCTCTGGCTGTGATGCTACCTGTGAAACACGCTCCGAGCGTTTTGTGCAGAAAGCGCTCCGGGAAGTAGTAGCGCCAAGCTTAGATGCGCTCCAAGAAACTACGGTAATTACCAGAGCTTTGGTTACTTCCACCGTCTGGTAGCCGGGCCCGGCGCGGCTGATCATTGTGCTGCGCCGTCCGTAGCCGTAAACGCGCTCATGATGGACTCAAGCCTCTGGCTCAAATGCAAGACACAATCTGTGCTATTCTGGCGTGCGGCAAACATGGCATAATGCATTAAAAACATAACGATGGGGACAGTAGTTTGCCGTAGCTGTTTGAAAAATATCGGCATGGTGAGGGCTCTGGCACCGTAACATCTGGATTTCCTTTAAACCCGGATTCGAAGGTCAGGGAGACGTCTCTCCGACCAGCGCAACAAAATTTTTGCCATCCTATTTTGAATGAAATCTGGGCTTTCCTCCAAATCCCTGTTTCAGAGGCTATTGAAACTCTCACTTTCAGCCACCTAAACAAAATTCTCAATCCAGCTTAGTTCAGATTTTCTTACGAACATTTGGGATTCCTCACGGCAGAGCATCCTCTCGGTCAGTTTTGGACTACATCGAGGCATAGGACGATAGCAGCAATGAAGATAAATCGTCTGAACAGAATTCGAAGCATGTGCGTCGCACGCGACATTCACCAAGTGGTTCCTTGCTGCCGAGCCAAGAACGACCAGTGAAGGGAAGCACGCTAGCATGTAAACAGTTTTCAGTGCCTCTTGGGGCTCTTCATCGTATGCACCGCGATTCCTCGCCGTTTTAAGCGGTACACCATGAATAAAGGTCAAGACAGGTCGAATGTTTAATGGTGTGGCTACTTGTCTGTGAAACCTGCTGTGGAAAGCTAGGAAAACAGCAAAATGTCTTTTTGAAATAAATAATCAAATAATCATTGTGAAATATCTTATGCACCGCGACTGGTGTCACTTCCAAGATGCAAGAGCTTTCTGAAGCCCCTGCTGTAACTCGGATTTACCAGCAAGCTCCTGCTAACTCGGAGTTATCAACAATGGAAACGCCACTCTCAACAGGATGGGGAAATCCAGCTCAAATCTATTGATGCCATGCCCCGTCTGTTTACGTCGGTTTTCGGCGATGATGTTCTGCGAGATGATGAGGACGTTCCAGAATGTTTTCCTAAATTGGTAGCAAACCAACTGCAACACAACCGCGCCGGGTGCCAGTCCCAGAGCATGCGCTTTGTTTGGCCCGATTTGCATGGGGGAGAGGAGGCGGCGAGTTGTAGCGAAACGGTGATGACAGAAGGTCTTAATACATTTCTGCCTGGTGAAATAGACCGGTCACAAAATTATCTAATAACCCGGGACGGCAAAACCCGGTTCAAGCACCCGTCATTACGCAAAATTTTAGCTTAGAGGGCGCTTATGTTTGAGGTACTTGAGAAGAGTGCCCTGTCCTCAATACCACCTAAACAAAAGGCTCCAAACACAATCTATAACAGAGCACCTATCACGTTTTACTAAAACGGTCAGTTGCGTATTTCGAGCAACAAGGCCATCATGGACAGCATTTTGTTTACTTCACCCACACCATCGTCCAGACTGTCTGGGGCAGGCCCCACCGCTGCCCATGCTCAGCTGATTCTACTCACACTTGGCTTGGTGCAGGTTATCTACCCACCCATCTACTGGTTTTTGAAGGTTTTAGTCGGCTCATACCTTGAAACTGCCGCACATCAAGATTGTAAGTGTCTTGGAAGTTGAAGGTCATACCACGAGCTTCCTCTCAGGGTCAGGGCATGCCACGAAACCCTCTCCCAAGGTCAGGTCATGCCACGAAGCCTCTCCCAGATCATGACGGGCGACGTCATCTACTCAAATGCCTCTTATTACCTCTTAGGAGTAAATTGTATTGATGTTTTGACTTAAGGGGGCCTGGTTGATCTCTGCTTGCTGGGCCCGATTTTGCTTTTCAACCGTAACTTAGAATGCATTTTAGAGCGTGATATAACTCAGGTCCTATACGGCTCCATCCATGGCGCATCAGTGGAAGAGTCAGCTGGGGATCTCGCCATCATGGGCGTCCGTGCGACATGACTGCGTGGTCACTGGGACTTCACGCGCGCACGACGGCTACTGAGGCTATACAGCGACGCTTGCTTCTCACCCTGACATGAAGGGCGGGCACCGCGGGGAATCAAACTCCGCGCATTTGGTTTCTCAGATCCGCGGCTTAACCACTACACTACCGGTAATACGCGGATTGATTACGAAGATGAGTTCAGTAAAATAACTGAAATTGTCGGGTGTTGTGAAATCTTGGTCCCAGGACTGACTGGATTGCTTACCTGATCTAAAACATCTTGCATTTTGCTATACATATAGACAAAATCTGGACGAGCGGTGATGCTTGCGGAGTCTCTGGAAACTCATGTTTAAACCGAAATATGTGATGCGTGCCAGTCACTTACAAATGTCCTGTTTTCTTTACATAAGCTGCACATGGTGATAAATGGCGAGCAACGTCGGATTGCAGTTCTGAAATGAGGGTTCATAAATTCAGACTGTCCTGCACATGGCCCTGTAACGTTGCTGTAATCCGGGATGGGAACCATGAATGAAAACATAGTCCAATACTGCAAACTAAACGTGCCGGTTTGTAAGCGAAGCGTGCATTCGTAAATGCATGAAAACTAAACCGCTGGTGGATAACAGACAACCCATCTCGCAGTCAGCGGACTGTACATTGCACTGCTAGCAGTTGTAGCTGGAAGCGTTGCATGGATTTACGTCATCTGCCGAGCGCCTTAAGACCAGCTTAGGCAACTGCCCGAAGCATTTTGACGTCACCTCCACATGTGTCCTAGAGAGAACAACAAACACCACGTGACCTGGACAGCTCTCGCACTTCTCGCCACCCGCTGTGTTGGCTGTCGGCTTATCGGCGCTTCAGGAATAGATTTCAACACCGCGCGTCGGTTTTGCAACCGGCTCTAAATCACGCCCGATGTGCCGCACATCGCGGCGCAACTATCCGCGTGGCACCTCGCACAATCGGAGCGACGGAATTCCCCTTGCTTCGCCCCCCCCCCCTCCCTTACGGCGTTTAAAACGCGGAAACCCGCCCGTCACGCCAGCGTCGGCTTCTAAGAATCCTCGGTCCGAGTATCTTCCAGCACCGAGGCGGCGCTCGCCAAACCGCCCCTCCGTCCGCCGCCGAGAAACCGGCCGGCGCTCTCGGGATGGAAATCCCCCAGCGGCCAGCGGAAAATCCAGACGGTACAACCGGGACGGCGGCGGCGGGCTGAGCTGCGGCCGCTCATAAGCCAGCAGGCGCGCGCGGCAGCAGGAGCGACCGGTGAGTAGCGCGTGCCGGCGGCGGTGGCGCGGGCAGGGGCGCGGCGAACGGTGGACGGCGGCTGGAGGTGCGGAAGAAGGCGATGGTCGAAACTAGGGCAGAGCTGTCCACGAAGATGTGTTTGCACCGTTTGGGAAACAGACCTGTTTTGACCTTGTCGACAGATGCCGAGGACTGAGCGTTCGCTCCCTCCATGCCCCCCTTTCTTCGTACAGTGTTATGGTGAACAGGTGAACCTCATAGCTGCCTGAAGCCATGAGAAGTGGGTTGGGTCACAGCAAATGTGTAGTGACAAATGAAACCACAGTGGG